GACAAATCATTCTCATGCAACCGGGATTTCACTTTTGTTCCTGATCACTGATCAACACCTGACATCTGTCTGCACGGCCATCAACAACATTTCGACGACATTGCGAGGTGACGTCGAGGTCGGCATTATGTACATTCTGGAACACACGTAGATGATGTGAATCGTATACAGTATGTATATAATTTATCTTACAGGTGATTTAAACTGCTGGGCGAAAAGTCAATGAGTTATATAAACTGATACGTTTTCCTTTCGAAACATTATTAACAGGATCCGAGTACACCGTAACAAGTAGGTACAAGGATTTGAATGATTGTCGGTAAGAAGTGAAGGAATAGTTTCAATCATATGCGAGGAACGTTTCGGCGAGATGAGAGTTGCTGCTGTGATTGAAATCCATCCTTTTTACCGAGACATTTTCCAGAACTTGTGATTGCTGCGCCCTTGGCGTGAGACTACTGGAATCTTTGGATTCTCAAAAAAATATTTTCTGCAAAATTGCTTTTTTTTACATGAAGAAGAATTCTTAAAATTACGCGTAGTTTTGGGTGTTATTTTAGAAGCATAAGATTGTTGATTTCAGGCAATACATAGCACAGTAAAAGCGCAAAGATCAATGATTAAAACTCTTTTCCTAGTATTCCGGAATAAAAATGTTCGGCATTGACGATGCGTTACTTTGTAAAGACATGACCGTAAATATGTCGAGAATTTCAGAGATTTCGACAAGCATTACATATCTGTTCTCCCTACGCTGGTGAAAGTTTTAGGCATTCGGATCTGATCGTAAATGTGGACCAAAAAACCGTACATGGATCAGGATTGACCAGGTTTGCTGCATGTATATTGGGGAAGAACAAAGTGACCATATGAGTCACTCGTTTTACTCCCAGCAGTGTACCACCCCGCAGGTGGCCTGCACTGAATTTTCTTAACAAGGAAAATTTTATACCCATTAAAATTGAATAATCCCTGCTCTCGTCTCCGGGGTTAGCTGGTCTTGGCCAAGCAGCCATCGTCACAGCCACCATGGCTGACGACGAGAACGCGGCGCCCGAGGGCGAGATCGACGAGTCGCTCTACTCTCGTCAGATCTTCGTCCTGGGCAAGGAAGCCATGATGCGAATGGCAGTTGCCAACGTCTGCATATCCGGAATGGGAGGACTCGGTGTCGAGATTGCCAAAAACGTGTGTCTGGCTGGCGTGAAGACCGTCACGCTGCACGACGAGAAGCCCGTGACCTGGTATGACCTCAACTCTCAGTTCTACGTCAAGGAGAACCAAGTGGGCAAGAACCGAGCCGAGAGTTGCCTGGGACTCGTGTCTGAACTCAACACCTACGTGCCCACAACTGCGTCCACTGCACCTATTGACGAGGCCTTTGTCAAGAAATTCCGGGTCATGTGTCTGTCTGACAACTCGTTCGAAGAACAAGTGCGAGTCGGGAAAATGTGCAGGGACAACAAGATCATTTTCATTGTGGCTGAGACCAAGGGTGCCTTTGGCAAGGTTTTCTTCGACGGTGGCGAGGATTTCGAGTGTGTGGACCAGAATGGAGAAGCTCCTCTGATTGCTCCGGTTATCAACATCTCGAAGGCTGAAGACGGCATGGTCACGTGTCCAGATGACAATCGACACGGATTCGAGACTGGAGATCATGTGGCTTTCACTGAAATCAAGGGTATGACTGAGCTTAATGACCGCGATCCCATTCCCATCAAGGTCACGGGTCCATTCACATTCACCATTGGTAACACGATGGGTTTCAGCGAATATGAAGGACCAGGAGGAACTGTCTCTCAGGTAAATCATCAGCATACAAATCTTTCAACCACCCTCCTGCAACCAATTCAAGATGTTGTTTATAACCAAATTATGTACCCAAGAGAACTGAAATGGTCAACAAATTTGAGCTGAATTCTATTGTCTAAGTTGGGAAAAACTCCATCACAGGTACCGTATTTGTTTCTCTGCCAGAAGAAAAACGTTTCCGAATAAATAATTGAAATGCACACTGGAAAAGGACACTTATTCCTGTTCTAGCATAAGATTTGTATTGGCACATGGACTTACTGTTCCCCAAATTTGTCTTGACTTAAGCCTTCTCAACTGAGGCACATTTTGGTGCCCTTCAGTCAAACTGAAATGCTGTGCCTGTGAACTAAAAATTCTGACTGAGCTTTGGAATAGAAGAGATCCTACAGGACATCTGTGGCAAATTCAAGATATGCTTGCCAAATTTTGTGTCCAAGAGCAATAAAATGAAAAAACCTATGCAGGCGGTACCTTTCAATTAAATTTCCAATAATTTGTCTCTGCCACAATTTTAAAATATTGCTGGGTAGTCAACTCAAAATTTGACCTCTGCCAAACGACAATTCAGCCTGCACAAAGAGAAAATGTCAAATTTGATGTAGTAAACATAACATTTAACATTGTCTCACAATAAATTAGTCAGCTTCACCATTTGTCCCTATCCCAGTAAAAAAAATTAGGGTCAAATTGTTGGGTACCATCTGTCCTAGAAACCAAAGCTCAAGTCTGGAAAATTTCCCTTTTTTTCTCTCCGCCAGTGGAAAAGTCTTGCTGAAAATAAATTACCCTGTTGATAGGTGTTTCCCTGTATACCAAGCTTAGGATCAGCATTTGAGGTTTTTATAAACCAATGGACTNCACATGATCTCCGACTTTGCCAAAATGGATCGCATGAACCAGCTGCATTTGGCATTTCAATCCATCCACAAGTTTGAGGCTGACAAGGGCCAGTTGCCCAGGCCATACAATCGAGCTGATGCTGAGGAATTCCTTGGCATGGTCAATGATTTGAATGATGCCCAATCTGGTGGAGCCAAGGGTGAAATCGATCCTGGCCTGATAAAAACGTTTGCCTACACTTCTCGAGGTTGTCTGGCTCCCATCTGCTCTCTACTTGGCAGTTTTGTTGGCCAAGAGGTCATGAAGGCCTGTTCTGGAAAGTTTAACCCTCTGAATCAGTTCTTGTACTTCGATGCCACTGAGTGTTTGCCTGACGATGTGGAGACGATCTCTGAAGACTCAGCTGCTGCAGTGAGTTTATCTTATTATTGCGAGATTGGCGTATTCAAAAATTATAAAATATTGCTCAGAAAGTTTAATGGGGTTTTCATAGACTGTTACTGCTTTGAATATGTAGACCCTATAGTAAGGTTGATACAATTGGACCTTTCTAATCAGTTGGGCAGGAACTCACGAGTTTTCTTCAGTCTGCCTGAATTTGCTGAAGATGAATTTTAACGTAGCCATCCCAAACTCAGACTTTCCCTCAAACCTGTAGTCTGAATTTCAAAAGTCCATTTTGCAAAGGGGACGTCAGAAAGAAGCATAATCAGTTCAACTTCTTGCTTTTTAAAAAGGAGTGATTTTTTGGGCTTCTGGTTTAGCATCCTGTCAACTTAAGTTATCATGAATTTTGAGCCCCAGCATAATATATGCTGACTAATTTTTTTTTTCCTTCCGAGGAAAAATTTAAGTCTTGTTGTGCTCAAAAACTCAGATAGTAATATGTTACGTGAGTCTCTTCTCACCAGTCCACAGGGAATTTTTTTTGCATTTATCAAAAGTGATACAGTTATGAAATCTGTTACCTTCATCAAAATGTTAGAAAAAAAACAAAAGCAGTTGATGAAAATTTGGCTTTTTGCTGAATAATGCTAAGAATAATGAATTCACCTGATGAAATAAGTGATTTCCATTTTTCATTCTGAGAAACCTTTCTTCAAGCCTATCATTCCAATTTTTGAAGACCATAGCTGCTTAATTGGTTCTCAACTTGATTTTTGTAGAAAAGCAGGAAATTTTCAAATACCTGCCATGAAGTCTTCCAAACAAATTCATTTGAGTCTGCGTAAATTTTAAGAAATTTAGCTAGTCAGCAGAAAAGGTTTTGGAAATTCGGTGGACCACCAAAAATCTATGAAAAATTTCTGGCTCCCAACAAATTTTATGGAAATTTGCCAGTCTGTGGTCCTAGAAAGGCTAGGTAAGCACCGATAATCCAACGCTTTAAATTGGAAGTGATGAAAACATTTTGTATCTCATTTGTCTGGATTTTTAGAAAAATTCTT